GGGGGGCAGGTAATTAAGTCGCTCCTATGGGTTTGTTGGAATGGATGTGATTTTGAGTATTGATGAGTTGAGGGGGGGGAGTAGTTGAGAATCTAACAGCAAAACTTCGGGTTCCAAACTCCAGTCAGTCGAATTACAGTAATGATGACATCATTTGCGTTCTGAACTGACATGAAATTCAACCAAACTAATTGTTCACACTGTTTTGCAGTTGAGGAAATCCAAGCAACCTGCTTGCTGGCTGCACAAATGCCTGCTTACCGCCCTGCAGTGCTGGGGGGTTCGACCGTCCTTTGGGATCCACTGAGGCCACTGCAGTTGATTATAACATCATCTCCAACCTGCGCTTTGATGAGCACCATTGGGCCCACCCGCAGCAACGGTGCGGCAGAGAAATCGGAGACGTGGGAAGAAGTGGAAAGAAGTGGGACATGGAAACAGAACACATCTTGCAGTGGGACAAGCGCTCAGGCATTTACAGATCCAAATTGGCCAGGTGTCCTAGCCAACCTGAGCTTGGCCGAGTGAGAGGATCAAACTTTTGAGGGAGGGTCTTCAGCCTTGCAACTTGGGAAATGGTTGAACGAGGCGAGATTGGCACTTGGGAGATTCCCCAAAATCAGCACATTCGAAAAAGAAATGCTCCCGTGTCGAAGCACATGAGGCGATAGCATTCAATAGCTGTCATTTGTCAAGGGGACAGACATCTATAGTTAGAATAACTTTGTGACATTTGGAGGGTTACATATTGCCTATCAAGCTTTGGGACGACGACCAGGCCAGTGCGGTTCTTGCACGGACACAGCAAATAAGACAAAGAGAGGCTGAATTCCATGTTTGAGGCAGACCTCATTTTGAATCTTTTTCCTAGTCGGACTATATCCCTGGCTTTGAGAGCATCGCCACAGACATAGATTTCCTCCCCTTAACCACAAAAGCTTCACATTCCACTGCTGTTTGACACGCAGCCCCTTTGGAGGCCTGTGGTCAAGGACCGGATCCCGAAGCCCCGGAAGATCCCTGCGATGCTGCACAAGGACTGATCGACCCAGGACTCCGTCCATTTGGATCGTTTTTTTGGTTACGGAAGAATGGCGGATTTTGCAGAAATTCTCAAGGTGGATGCGAATTCTCGACCTGCATCTTGGTCGTCACGTCGGGCTGACGGTGCTAATGAGAAGGATTGGGCTGGACTCGCTCGATCGGGGTGGTCTCAGCGGGTTTTTGGACACAACTGGGTGAAATCCACCATGAAAAAAAGTGTTTGGCCGTGTTCAGTCGCCTTGGCACTTGTCATGGCAAATGTATCTCAAGAGCAACTTGGGCCCACGGGCGGGTTGGCTGAGCTGTTTTGGTGAGCCTTTGCCCAACGTGATGTCATCAGGCGCAAGAGAAAGAGAGAGAGAGAGAGAGAGAGACATGGAAGGAATCAAGACCTGCAATGTTGAATGATGTTGAATGTATCTTCGGAGAATGCAGCAGCTCCGTGCCAGATTTGTTGAGGCACGAAGTGATGGTTTGAAAATCCGATGTCCAAACAGTTGGGTCTCAGCTGTTGGAGCTTCTAGACACTGGCAGCCGAACTGGCCGAACGGGCGTATGGCTTTCGGTGCTTTGCTCCTTTGTGAGGACTTTAATATCCTCACCAACCGCTACTTGGAGCACCACGAGGCGAGGGATGCTGCGCAGATCACCCAGTTGATCCAGAAAGCTGTCGACAGAAGTTAGGCCGAAAGCATTGAGAGACACTGGTATGCAACTGGGTTGTGTTTGATTGGTTTTCCTCACTATAGTCTCAATTGCCTTCACAACTCACTCTGCAGATCAGCATGTCAGCATTGAGTAATCTCAGCGACTCGGGCTCACTCGGACTTCTAGAAGCACATGTATATACATCACATCCATGTTCAGCAAAGTGACCACTTGGTGCTGCTCTTCCGGAGATGCCGGTGGCTCAAGAGAGACCAGGAGAAGTTGGAAAGAGACCAAGAATTGAATCTCCTCGAGGCAGCACGGCAGCCCAGGAGGTTCGGTTGCAGCCCTGATGCACGCTGCGCTGCTTGCGAGCAGGGAGGGTGTTCCGCCTATGCCAGCGGTTGCTGTTGCACACCTGAAATCCGGAACCTCCGCTGAAGAGTGAGTCGTTTTGTGGCTTTGTCTCCCAAACGAACCCCCCAAAAAAGATAGGAGACACACACAAAATAGGTGGGGCACTGCAGGTTGGCAAAGAATTCAAAAGGGGTAGACCCCGAGTGAATCATGGTTGGATATATCATGGATACCCCAGTCTACCATCTCTACACCACCTTCCAGCCACCTCTTCGCCCCTGGTAGCATACCCTGCAGCTTTTGAGGCCCAGAAGATGCGGCAGACTTGCCCGTTCAATCCTGTCCAGCAAAAGTTCTGCCGCGCACTTGGAGGAGCACTTGATGCCTGAAGGGTTGGTGTGATAGAACTATGGCCTGGTGTATTTCAATGGTTCTTCTTTTGTTGCTTGGTGCTGAAAGTATATTTCCTAAGATTCACCTGGGCCAAGTCGGCGGATGAGAGAATGCATTGCTCTGCCTGCGTCGCTGAGGTGATGCTCGTTTGGAAGAGCGAATGCGTGCCTGTGCGGATGCCCAGCCATGGGGGACTGTGGCAATGACGCCATCATCGGGGCACTTATATAATTTAGCTGAGGCGATTTGTTGGCTTCAAGTTCTGACGTTTGTATATAGATCATGTTCAGCTGTGCTAGCCGTTGGTCTTATGGCAATAGGAACTGACGCGGCTGACGCGTGATCGTGTGACACGGTCAAGTCGAAGTGGGGTTGTCGGAGCTTCCTTTTGGGCCAATTGCATCCAATTGCCGGAATGGGGTGACACATGGTGAATATATTGTTTCACGTTCATCACACGAACGTGGAAAAAGCCACGTGAACCATTTGTGATCCGGGATCATCCACTCGTAACTTCGATCATCCACTCTGACGCGGTGGAGGGGCGAGCGTTGATCATCAATACAGTCACCACCCGTTCAATCATGCGTTTCTACATCCAAGACCCAAAAGCGAACACAACAAAACATTGATAGACTTGCAATGGCTTTGCGCACTGCCCTCCCCTCCCCAACACACAAAAAAACACACACATCATGTTTGTCGTTTTTTGGTCTTTGGTCTCCAGGGGTCTTGAGTGAGCGACGGAGCTCCTCGCCAGGCCAAGATGCACTGGCCACAGAGGTGAAGCTTCGCGGTGAGGAGGTGCTCGGGGGACCTGAGCAGCGGCCTGCCGGTTTGTTGGAGGACAGTGGATGGTTTGATTTTAATCATAGAATTGAATTGGTTGGCAATTCTATGTAATATATATGTTTCACCCTCCAACAAGCATGGAAGTGGACAAATGTGGACAATTCCCCGTGCTCGTCGAAGAAGATGGTCTTTCCAGTGGTCGTGCTATCAACTTCCGGTCCATTTTTGTTTCAGCGAGTGTGTATATATATATATATACTGGCCCCAGTATGTATATACATATTATACAAGATAGTATTTCATTATGTAATCGTTTTTCTAATTATGGTTTCCTTGCAGAATGAGCTTGGGCAAAGCAAAGGACCGCACAGAACTTGGGCAAGTCATGATCGGATTTGCCTGGATTGGATGGTGGGGGCACTCCTCGGTGGGATGGCGCAACAACCCGTTTGCGCATGGCTCCGGGGTCCAGCTGAAACACCAGTTGAAGGGCAGGAATCCCAATTTTCCTTATTCGAGGATACATACAGTACATTCAATCACGTTGCCCTACAACATTGATATAAATCCAAATTTATAAATATATACGTAATATATACATGTGTATATAGAGATCTCTAGAATGCTTGAGCATTCGGAGGAAAGGTGGAGATTTTCCTCAAAGTTTGGACCTGTTCTGCTTTGTTGCCGGCTTCTTGGGCCCGTGCATCCTGCATAATTGGTTGAAAAAAATATATGTCTACTGCTGGCTGCTTCCACTTGCTTCGGCAGCTGGCTCAATTGGATGTACAGTAGGAGTTGCAGCCACATGTTCTGGGTTTCAATTGATTTCTTTTTTTGAATCCAACATTATTTGTCACCCCCCTGCTAACAGCATGAGCTGAACATGTATGCCACTTGGCCCCAAAAAATGACATGGGGTGACCATGTGGTTCAGATCTGCCTGTGTCGTTTGCATGTGGTACCCTTGGTGGGTTGACCTGTTATTGCCCTTGACGCACTGCCCGCACACGCGTTTGACAGCTTGGGCCAGGCTCAGCCTTTGTCCTATCGAGGGAACATCACCAACTGCTACGCCTGAGACTCAGTGAAAACGATAATGATTAGCCGCTGAATGTTTTCCATGCAGTCAGTTGGAAGAAGTAGATCTTGTTGCCCCAGGGGAGTTGCCTTCCTTGGAAGGTAGGCATGGGACATATCCATTTTGAGCATCTACTGCGATAGCTGCATTCTCCACACCAAACACATTGCATCAGAACATGTGTTTGTGAGATCTGAAAGAAACAGCAAAGCTCCAAAAGGTTCAATGGGAGTTTTTGTATTTTATATAATACCTAGTAGTGCAGCCAGGAGCCCCTAATAGCGTGTTGGTATTTGGAATGTTTGAAGTTTAAAGCTGTGACTGTGATGGGATGCTGGACCTCTCCAATCTTCCACCTGCTTAAAAGAAGCCTCAAGCCTTTTTTCCTTCTTTGCCGCTGCGCACGTGCAGGACATGCTGAGTCACAAGGCATCGGAGATACCGCGGATTGATACTAGTAGATGTCACTAATCTTGCAGCTTTACATGTCCAGTACTTGAAGATAAGATATGTTTGGTGGAACCTCTTTTGAGACGCCTTCTTTGGATTTCCGGTGCATTACATGTGGCTGAAACCTGTACCATGTGCACAGACTACCCAAAAAGCATCGCAAATTCCATTTCTTTTACCCTGACCCTGGAGAAAAACAAAAACACATGCAGCCAACCCGACCCTCGGGTCCGTTTCGTTTCGGCCTCCAGAGGTGACAGATCCCGAACTCATGCACTACATCACTCGCGCCGAAGGTGGACGGAAGGTCGCTCGGGCCCCGCGGGGAGGTGAGGCGTTGGATTTGGGGGGATTGATCAGTAGATGGGCTGGTAGGTTAGCATGTGGTCGAACATGGGGCCACTAAAGCCACTGCAAGTCTTTCAGTATTACTGGCACTGTCGTCATCAGCTCGCCGATGCTTTGCTGCAGGCCCGCTTCAAGACGAGATTCAGATTCGAGGACTGCGACCAACACTCGAACCCGAACAGCACGCAGCACCAGGGGATTATTCAAATTGATTCCCACATGTTCGAACATACCTCAGAAAAGATGATATGGCGGTATGGTTCCTAGCCGGTTGGCAACTAGAGAGTGGAGTCATGCTTCTGTCACCGGGCATCAAGACAGAAGTCCCGATGGTCAGCCCATTGCCTTGGATAGAGACCCCAACTAGGGAGTGTCAAATTTCTGTAATCAAGGGGCAGAATATGGAACTGTCTACCGTGGATTGCGATCCCACTGAGGACTCATAGCACGTCGTATCAGATGCATCAACATTATTTCCTCCTTCCTTCTTCTGGTCTTCTCCAGAAGCTAGTCCGGAAAGCTTTTCTGAAGACTCCAACTTTACACTTCTTCTCCTTGGCGTGGCTATGACTATTGGGGAAAACGACTTACAGTATATACCTACCATTCTATTTTCTTCACACCGACACCCATACGGTGCAAAGCCAAGTCTTCATGCCCTTGACTGGAGTTGGCAAGACGGAAACTTGTGATCATTTAAGAATTAATTTATGCATAATATGTAATTCTGTTCATTCGATGTCGTTGATGAAGCACATCCACAGCTTGGGATACTGTGGAGATCTGTGGGGATCTGTGGGGAGTGTTTTGTCCAAGACTGGAAGAGGTGCCGTCCAATTATCTCGTTCCAAAGGGTGTGGGATTTTTTTCACTGATCAAGTTTAAACTAACTATCCAAATGCACATTTTGTGAAGGAATGCCTAAATGCACCGCAAGAAGACACATTATGGTCCAAACGGCGTACTGGAGACATTCTGCGAAGCCAGGGCTCCGCTCGCCCTCCATGAGGATCACGTACATCGTGCAGATGTCAGGCAGGAGGACCGTGTGAAGCGCATGAAGCCCATGCAGGCGCCGAGGGAGACTGTGCAGGAAGACTACTTGAGTGCTGGTAAACAGGACGGACAAACTTCCAGGTCGGCTATGGTTCTTCTATGGATGCTTGGATCGTCTTGGATATGTCGATACAATCTTATCAGGGAATGTCAGGGACTCCAAGGAAAATTTGTAACATTTCACGATTGAAGATTTGGGAAGAACTGTACACTCACTCAAGGTCCAAGAACCACCCCTTTCTGGAAGTGAAATCTAGATGTCAACTCCAGTGGACAACCTCCGGCTTCAACGCCCCCCCGATCCAGAGAGGAAGTTTTCACACGCCTTTCTCCACTTTCTCCACATTCCTTAAATCGATCCGAGCGGCGCAGATCGCGCACGAGCGATTCGTGACGGAGATGGAACGAGGATATGCGCCTCGACGAAGATCGATACCGGACGTCAGACTGGGCCAGGTCAGACGAGTCCGAGAGCGCACGCATGCCGCAGATCGCGCACACTTTACATGGCAAACAATACGTTGCACAACACACTTAGTGTCTTGAACAGTCTTGCAAAGATTAGAATTACCACTATGTCACTATGTCACACTGGGCTATAGTAGTGCAAAATGTTCATTTAGCTGCAATATTCGCAATTTCACAATACACTTCCCAGCGGCACACCTGTACCAGGCAGATGTTTTGTTCTCCCCGCACCTGCAAGTAATAAGGGCTAAAACATCTATATAAAAACTATGTGTGAGCATACCAGGGCTACACGACACAACACCAAGAAGGGAAGGATGGCAATACCAAGAGGAGCCATTTGACTGTGAAGAGGTCTTGACATTTCAAGCCTTCAGCAATAATATATACATGTTTTTTGTTGTTGATCTAGAGAGAGAGATCCATCAGGGCATGTTGATTATCTGGTGTGCTGGTCATCCGTGGCAGCATGCCAGAGGATCCAACATCGATGACAATGGGATGTGGATCAATGACATGTTTGAGTATGGGCAACTTAAAGCACCATACGGCTGGTGAATTAGCAAGGAGGGCATTGGAATCATAGGTTGTGGCAGAGGAAGAGCACGCGTAAGCTGAGGTATGAGTGAGGGTGAAGAGGCATTGTGATGTTTTCTCAGAAATCCAACAACATGGGTAACATGGGTAGCATCATCCTGGAATGGGCGGAGGAGTTTTTTTGTGCCACAGGGATTGCTACAGCTGCGGCGAGGATGCTATGAAGACTGCGTTCCTACCCCATCAATGGAAGGATGTGGCCATTAGCCAGCAGGAAGGGTGCCAACAAGCTATCAGCCAAATCCTCGTCTAAAGAAGATGAGCTTTTTGCGAAGCTCCATAACACAATGGAAGCATTGGTTGCATACGTGAAGGATTAGGAGAACAAGAAGCAGGATGAGAAGGTCAAGCGCCAACCCAGATTGGTCTGGGAAGTGGCGGGTGGTATCAGAAGTGGGAGGTGGAGTTTGAGATGTTTTTGCAGCCGCACGCCGCAGATTAATTAAGCCACTTCAGAAAGTTGATTGGGCACACCCAGCATGATCAGCATGGCAGAGAAATCGCTGATATTGGCAATACAGAGAAAGCCATCAGAAATGTCATGGATTGATTGCCTAGAATGCTTGCGGGGGCATTGGGTTCTCCTGGTGCTGGACATGAGGCGACAGATTGCGGGGGATCAATGGATCAGGTAGGCATTAACGTAGCCGTATATTTCTTTGATTCAAGACCCCGAGACTTGCAGATTTGCGATTGAGATTATAATCATATTGAATGCTTTCCTGCAATGGGGGTTGGTGGATGAGCTTGCGTTCCCAACACAATGCTTCGGAAGAATGGTAAAACTTAAGCCAGATCCTTCAACAATTGCAAAAAAAACGCAGGAAAACACGGGCCTTCACAGCGTCCCGCTGGCCTTCACAGCGTCCCGCTGGCCTTC